GCACTATTAAGTAGAGGTGGGGGTGGGGTGGCACCAAGGACAAAACAACATGAAATACCATGATGATTTAAACATTTACCTTTTCAAACTGTACTGAGTCGATTCTGTTTGGCAGAAAAGAATAAAATAATGCTCGAAACATTGCTATAACAATTTAATTGGTACATATTTGCATACAATAGATTTATATACTTCTATATAGAGTTATGTATATTGCTTGTGAAATAAATAATATAAAAATTCTTATTTTGGGCACTACCTTTACACTGGCACGGCGTTCGAGATTACATCACTGTTTTTATAAACCTGTAGTTGCCAGTTTATCCGAAATGAGGTTAGTTATACAGTTGTGCACTATAGTGGAATTCTTGTGTGGTGTATGTTTTGCACACTCCCTGCTTGTTGCAAGGTATAAGACACTGTGTAATGGGAAAATTCAGTATATACAGACATACAGTTCATTAGATTATATTGTGCACTATGGTATTGCTTCTACGACCCACGATTATCGCAGAACCTTGTTGCATGCTGCACATTAGTACAGTAACATTATACAGGAATAATATACAGTACAGTGACAATATACAGTACAGTACATTAACATTATACAGTACATTAACATTATACAGTAACAATATACAGTAACAATATACAGTACAGTGACAATATACAATACAGTGACAATATACAGTACAGTACATTAACATTATACAGTACAATAACATTATACAGTATAGTAACGTTATACAGAATAGTAACGTTATACAGTACAGTAACATTATACATGCAGTACAGTAACATTATACAGTAGATTAACATTATACTGTGCAGTAACATTATACTGTGCAGTAACATTATACAGTACAGTAACATTATACAGTACAGTAACATTGTGTTTGTAAACTGTGTTTGCCAGTTTGTCCGAAATGAGGTTAGTTATACAGTTGTGCACTATAGTGGAATTCTTGTGTGGTGTATGTTTTGCACACCCCCTGCTTGTTGCAAGGTATACGACACTGTGTAATGGAAAAAAATCAGTACATACAGACATACAGTTCATTAGATTATATTGTGCACTATGGTATTGCTTCTACGACCCACGATTATCGCAGAACCTTGTTGCATGCTGCACATTAGTACAGTAACATTATACATACAGTAATAATATAGCTATTTCAATTAAGGTTGTCCACGAGCAAAGCGGAAAAGTCGAATACGAGCGCGAAAGGCTGCTGGGAATCGCTAACAAATTAATGAATTTTCATAGCGATTCCCAGCAGCCTTTCGCGCTCGTATTCGACTTTTCCGCTTTGCTCGTGGACAACCTTAATTGAAATAGCTGTATACAGTACAGTGACAATATACAATAAAGTGACAATATACAATACAATACATTAACATTATAGAGTACAGTACAGTACAGTAACATTATACAGTATAGTAACGTTATACAGTATAGTAACGTTATACATGCAGTACAGTAACATTATACAGTACATTAACATTATACAGTAACATTATACAGCACAGTAACATCATACAGTACAGTAACATTATACAGTACAGTAACATTATATAGTGCAGTAACATTACACAGTTAAGTGAGCGTCTTCATTGTTTGAGGGTCTGTCTGCAGAAGACAGATTCTCTGACTCTCCACTGTGGTAACCCTTACTATCCATCTGTTACTAGCCTAGTGAATGTTCACTTCGTACGGACGCGTTCGGTGTCTCTTCGTTCTCTATATTGAACAAAGTTTATGTGGATGTTACTGATTATATGTTTTTCAAAAACTCATTACTAATTCATGAGCAAAACAGAAAGAAAAATCATAAGCGTGTCATATCTTTATATGTGATAAAGATTTCCCTTGAATTACATAAACTTTAACTTTAATTTTCTCGACGACTTACACAACATATTTTTTGAAAATTACTTCGCCAATGAACTTACTAGATCGATCGTTTTTGAAGCAATTTAAAACATTCGCAGTGCGTGTTTTATCAGACCTAAAGATACTCTAAATGAATCAGGTGAAAGAATTAGATGCATATTTCGGCCAGGTGAGTCGAAGTGGGGGGGAGGGGCTTCCGACGCCCCTGATTCACCAGCAAAACGTTCCCAACATTACCAACCTCGGACAGGAGACGTGACGACGTGATCAACTTCTTTCGCTTCCTCAGCGACAGACACGTTTAGATTGTTATATCCACCATAGCCACCACTTTCAGATTTACTGCTCTCCAACTGTAGCCTCGCATTCTTTTCAACCATCTTCTGATTTATACCTGAACCGACCGTCTTGCCAGGCGAACTTGTGGAATCTGAGAAAACGAACGATGTCGTTTGGTTCAAAAATTGAGCGTCAAAGTATTCGCGAGAAGTAATAAATTAACGAAAACATGGAATGCTAGTAAATATAAAACATGACATGCTAAAACTGAAAACAATGCTCGCTCACTCTTTGGACGGCGAACAGATTTTTTGCCAAAGCCGGTTGAGAATGTGCTTCTTATTGTGCTGTTGCGGATAACGTCTCGCATCTGGAAAATATAAAACGAAGTATTGTTCAACACATTTAACCTGAAGAGCAGACACAAACCACAGCAGTTTATTGATGTCCAAGCATCAGATATCTTCCTTCCTTACCTGTTTGTTCAGAACACAATGGAACAGGAAAATGAGCATTCCTTGCGCGGAATTAAAAACGGCAAAAAGATAGCGGAAGAACAACGTTTCTCTGTTGAAAGTCATCAAGCCAAACAACCAAGTCAGACCAAGGATTGGGAAGATTACTACAGCTGCTTTCACACCAGTTCTCACTTTTTTAATACTGGTCTGCAGTTTGATTTTGTGCGAGTTCATCATTGTACGTAGAACCATCACAAACACAATAGTGTTGGCCTGTATGGAAGACGAAAGAAATCTGTTATTGTGATACCTTTGTATATATTGGATATATTGAATTCAACTCCAAACGAGATGAAAGTACCTACCAATATGACGAGGAAAGCAGGTCCTACAAACGCCCAAATTAATTTATTTTCAACACTAAGCCAACATGAAGATTCTGTGCCATATCCTTCACCCTGAGTTGCTCCAAGCGATACAACAACAATCAGTAAAGGAATGCCTGTTAGGGACACAGGTATCATGAGTGGTAATAGACAGTTCCCATTATAGACTAATTTTAAAACTAGGCAAGGAGATGCACATAAATCACCACAGCTAGAAAGAGCATTGTTTGGTTGCGAAATGTTGTAAAATGCGGAAAATATAGCCTTGCAAAGTTTGCGAATTTTGTATCAACTTTTGTATCGCGTGCGGAAATTCCCAAATGTGGTAGGAATTTCCGCACGCGATACAAAAGTATACAAAATTTGCAAACTTTGCAAGGCTATATCATTCCGCATTTTACAACATTTCGCAACCAAACTTTGCAATTTTACTAATTTTAGTATGCTCTTTCTAGCCGTGGTGATTTATTTGCATCTCCTTGCCTAGTTTTAAAATTAGTCTATAATGGGAATTGTCTATTGCCGGTAGAAGGGTTTCGTAGATAAAAATTTCGAGTACTGATCTTATACATTTATTAGACCTAACCAGAATACAGTCTACAATCGGAAAGACATACTACTTACCCCAGCCAATAAAATTAAAGATCTTCCAATGTCTGCCACGCACACCATCAAATATTCTGATCAGTACGATGTACAGTAATATTCCCTCACACAACATCCATCCAAACGCTGACAACACAAAGAAATGCAGGAGAGCCGCAACTGCTTTACAGAAATTCTGTCGAAAATAAATGTCTATTTAGTTATGACAATATGTCTATTTAGTTATTTGACTCCGTGAAAACGATACATAAGAACGTGCATTAAACTAAACTAAAATAAGTTTATTTCGTGTGGGTAGTCATAGGTTTTGGTAACATTAATTGGTTATTGGTCCATTTCAAAATTTTAAGAAAAGCAAACTTACTGGGCTATCTCTTGCAACACCCTCAAGGATGGCAAAGATATCGGTAAATCCAATAGCAACACACAGATTGAGTAAAACCTTAGCCCGAGGTGACTTCAATTGTTTCCAGAAACAAACTTGCAAGAGAATTGTCAACACGATGCCGACCAATGATATGGAACAACCGACGGTGGAAATCGTCTCCAATATCTCACGTTCAGACTCCGTTAGCTGAAAAAGATGAATGAATATGAAATATCAGGTAACGTTTCGTTTACATGGACTGGATGAATTCGCAGCAGTACTCATATTTGCAAGATTTCGTCTTTGAAGTTAACATGAGACGCACGCATGCAACCGAGCGCATCTAAGACAGCTAGGCCGTACGAATTTGTGTTCGGAATTTGTCTACGATTGATAATACAAGTTTGGTCACATCAAATCACATCATTTCTGTGCAAATACAATGCATTGTACTTTTGTTAAAATTTGATTAATTATAATTTGTGCAGTGAACAATCATCAATAATGATGAAAACACTAGGTACGTTGAAGAAAACACTCTACTTGCAGGCTTAACCCAGAGGTAAATGCATGGCAGTGACACAGAATAAGGTACACAGAAGGCGGACTTCTTTGTTTTTTCTATGATTTTCCTATGATTTTGGCGTAACCCGTAATTCGTCATCAAATGCTGACGCCATGGTCGCAGCCAGTGCGCGTTTGTGAGGCATTCACCCCCTGATAATATTCAAAATGGCGGAAATCCAGGGGGAATGCCTCTCAAACGCGCACTGGCTAGGACCATGGCGTCAGCATTTTGATGATGAATCATGGCGTGGCAGCGGTTACTCGAGTCGACCTTCTGTCATTCTGTCATTGTCCTTGCTCCCCATGATAGCCTGAGTCAGCCTGAGTAATCCATCTTACCTGCACGCCCGCAACATCCATCATGATAGCAAAAGCAGTGTTATGATCACAATCACAGGTAACATTTTCCACACTCGATTCAGCTTCATTCAATGTACATCCTTCACTGCTCCATATACTGCCGTTCACGTCAGGCTCAATAAACGCACAAGTTCGTCTTGGGTCTTCATAACCAGTCTAAGAAAAATCCATAAGTGTATTCCAGTAATTGTTGTTATAAAATGTTTTAGCGAGGTGTTGGGGCCCAGTAGTTACCACATGTACTCTTTACCTTTGCTCAGGGTTTAGTTTCTGGTTGTCAGATTATAATTTCATCTCATGTAAGAAGAGCCACTTTAACTCTAGCAGATACCACAAATTTTCTCCGGGAACTCCAGTTTCACCCAGAAGTAACAATGGACCAATAAATCATTGCCCTTACTGGACTTCCATGGAAAACAGTTTAGAGCTGATAGAGCTCTCCAGCATAGACAAAGTTAGCCTAGCGCCTTCACTTCCCCATCTACCCAGCCAGCAAACCAGCCAGCAAACCACATACCTGGTTATTCTGTAGTATAATCTTGAAAGGTTTAGACGCTGAATCATTCTTAAGCTGTGGTTCGATTGTGAAAGATACAATAGTACTTCTGATTGTCAACGAATCAGTCGATCCTATGGTATTATCCACGGTTTCCTTTAACTCCTCTTCAGATAAGATATCCTTGATTGAGCTATACTGCACTAAAATTGCTAGGTCGATTTCATTGGTCACAACATCAGGGATAATCACACCCTGACGTCCGGTGTCCAGTAAGCTGATATCTTCAGGATTGGTGGGTTTTACTGTTGGTAGACGTATTCCACGCACGGCTATGTTTGGTGTACTATATGAAACAACTTTTCCTGTTTCCGCACTTTGTGAGATGTAGTTCTTTGCATTGAGATCTGTGCCACTTATAATCTGCTTCGCTAAATTATTTCTGGACTGTAAAACAAAAACAGTTATGGTTGAGTCCATAATAAGTTGACAATACATTTCATGAGCAAAACACAACTACGTATTATTATCTTCATACCAGGATAACAAACGTGCTTCTATAAATTAGTTAACTTTCATGTTGAATTTCTCTTCATATATACTGCAGCTGCTTCGCTGTTTCAAATTACCATCACAAGCTGCTTTTCGTGTGTGGTATTTTGAATAATAAAATACTTGCATGTCATCTTACCGGTATATTTTTCCACACGTTCTTTCTCTTCCGACTCACTATATTACTTGATGAACGAATAAAACTTTGTCGATCATTTTGTGTTTTCGTTTTCTTCTTTGTCTTCTCTAAAATGTACACAATGTTTTCAACATCTTTTTCATAAAGTTTACCGTCTTCTGTAACTTTTTCAGTTTCGCCCAAAATGTCACTGATATCCTCGGATTCAAACCCTTCGTCTAGTCTAGAGACCTGTCAAACAGATACAAACCACGATAGATTAGTTTATATAAATTCATTTGAAGGAATAGTTAGATGGATTTTAGTGACAAGTTTGACAATTACCTTATCAACAAGATTGATAATAACACGACTTCTACAGTTGGAGAGATTCACATCACCCCAGACAGGCTGACCATCATTACTCTTACAAAATCGAGTCACAGTTCCTGGAAATGATTTTTTTATCAGTGGTTCGTTTATTCTAGTTAAACCCAAAGACCATAACACAAATAGTCAAAAAACTGCACCTATTGTTCCAACAGGACATTTTTTAATCACCGAAGTACCAACTGGTGTTTTTCCCCAAGTATACCCACTATCATTATCTGCCAAGCAAAACTTATTAAAATCTAAAAAGAACAATAAGGAAAAAGACACAGTCAATGAATGATGGAGGTGGGTTTTACTAAGAACTTACTTAGATAAAAATATCAAAACATTTAACAAGGCAGTTTTACCTTGAGATATTATATACACAGTAACGTTCTGGCTTCGTCCGGGACCGTCCGAGTTCGTAGCGAAACACCAATAGTCTGCCTTGTATCTCTGATTACCATCAGACAGTTCAATATTGGATAAATCCAGTTTTCTGGTTTGACCAACAGAACCAGACTGTTTGGAGTTATACCACATAATTTTGATATTTTCTTCATCACCAACAGAAATCTTACACGTTAACATTATTGTATCACCTGAATGAAAAAATTATGGAGAAAAAATGTATGGAATTTGGTAGTCACATTTTCGAAAAAATTAACCATGGAATGAAATTAACGAGTGTTAACTGCCGCTGCCACCCACTTCTCTCACATATATAATTCAAATGCTTGGTTACGTTCGTTCCATTGTATGATTTATACATTAACAGAACAGAGGTAACTAGGCATGTGAGGTAACCGAAAGTTGAAAAGTAAGTGGGAACAGACATAAATAGTTTGTGTTAGACTGTAACTTCCATCTTCCAACATTACAAGCCATTACCTGATCTCGCCTGTGCGTACGCACTCTTGCTAATGTATCCTAAAGGATGTATATGCTTTACCTTCAGTAGCAGAAACAGATAACGGGAAAATTGCAACAACAGGGATAAGTTTAACTTCTACAGACACACTACTGTTGATTGTGTTAACACCTTTACTAAAATAAAATAAAAAGAAACACCATATGTATACTAAATCAAGACCATCACAATAACATAGTGTGTGGGGGTTTAGTGACACAATGGTTGGTGCATGTGCCTTCCAGCTCTGTCACCAGGGTTGGATTTCTTTCAATATGTAGTTGTCTGATTAGAATTTTGCCTCAGCTGCCCATGAGAAGAAGAGTGCTTCTGGCTTGACGTCATCAAACATTGCAGGTTTACTCTGCGTAATCCTGTAGTACTGAAATATTGGGCCAAGGATGGTAGGACCGAGTGTGCTGTCTTCTGAGACACGGGATGCAACAGAAAAACAGTCAGAAGCAATTCCATCAACGTATCCACGTAGTTCATGGACGAATTATTATTGTCAAACGCGCTTACCTGGCTATACAATAATAATCGCCAGAGTCAGGTTTCGCAGTTTTACGGACAAAAAGTTTCGAAACTTTATCGTTGTTTTCAATCTTTACCCTTGTTGATAAGGACAGAATCATGCTATTATTCCTCCACTCAAAGCTCGGAAGAGATGGTCCAGTAACAGTACATGTGATCTCCAACATGCCTCCGGCATATCCACTGTACTGTACGTTCAGTTGAATATGTGTAAATGCTAAATGTAAACAGAAGATGAGCTGATTTCCTGGAAGGTTGTTTGAGGAAACTCGAAACTGCTGCGAGAAAGTAGGTTGCTTTTACCAAGCACTATCGCGCAGCAGTGATGAAGTGTATAAAAAATGTATTGATGAAGTCTATAATTTGCTCTCACTTATGTGAACAGTTTTGAAGTTGAAACCATTTGCTATCCCGTAATAATATTTACCAAAATCCACCTATTCCGACGTTTAGGTCCTTCGTTTGAGCATTGGTATCCGTATACGAACCATATCACTTGGGTTTACTTCATATTATCAGGGT